CATTTCAGGAAGCCATTTGTGGTGAACATGCATCTGGTTGTCAGTTAGAGCAGGGGGGGTCGTATCGTACACACATCGCCATTTCGCACATCCCCATCTCTACCCTAGCTCGAGATCAGGTTCAGTAAGGCCTGTCTGCTGACGACACTGAGAAAACATCATTTCTGCATGTAAACCCAGCAAACGCATGACTTTATGCTTCTAGCGTCTCCTTCAAAAAGGGACGGAATTGCCATGCCCATTATTTCTATTAAGGTGTCAAGAGGCTGCTAATGTCCTTTCTAAAACGTCAAAAGCCACTTACGCTTATCAATGCAGGAACCCTTTATAATTCGCCTTTATAAAAATATCGTTCTGTTGTAGTGAGCACATTATTCTAATACGCTTCTTCTACACACCAGCAGACCCGCGTAGACGTTGTCTCTCGCTTGCTAAGTCGCGCCGTGAAGAGCTCATTTCTCTGTGTCGATGAGAGTTTAGGGGCCAATGCTGAGACCAGTGATCCATTATTCAAAGTTTGTCGAAGTGTTCAATCCAGATGCAAGTTCTTGGCTAATTAGTGAAGCAATCCTGAGTAAAGAAACTGTTCTACAGTTACTTTCTTCGTGATCCAATACTGAGCAGCAAAGACTCGAGGACACTGATCCCTTTGAGGCAGTTTCCGCGTAATGATCCGCGTAATGCATACGTGCAGTTGGCATTCGGTTCCACACTCGTGGAAAATATACCACTTTCGTCAATCGAAGCGGCGAGATAAAGCGGTAAGACGCGTGACCGTTGCAACTTCTTTCAGTTTCACTCTGACAAACGACCCACACGCGGAAGCGGTCTACGGACAACTAAAACTCAATTCCTTATGGCGCCATCGACCTTTCACATTCCAACTTCTCATTCTAAGTGGCTCATCCACCCCAGTTTCCCCTCCCTTCGAAAAACTCATCTCCTGGCTCTCGTCATGTTTATCGTACCTCCCGATGCCTTGGCATTCACAGTCCTTCATTGCTCTGCGCTCTGGCCTATCGCGGCAGGACCCCACCAAAAGTCACGTAACCCGCGGAAGCAAGTGTGTTGCCTAGAGCGTCGTATTTCCTATGCTCGTCTATGAATATCCTAGTCTGTCAACTTTTTTGGGGGAAGACGAATCGTTCTGCTTCACCTGGACACGCTTTTCGAAACAATATGTCAGCGTCCCTTCACTTCTCAAAGCGAGATGGGTTTGCGCCCTGCTCACAGCGATGCAATTAATTTGGTGCAGGAGCTCTCGCCATTGCGTGCCGCATGCTTACCGTAATCCCAACTCCATGGACGGAGTTTTTGAAAGCAATTTTTCGTTTCTTTGATTGCGGTTTTTTTGTATAGTACTGGAGGATGCGAAGAAACAGTTTATAAGCTAGAGTTTGTACAGAGTCCGCAGTGTGTCGAGTCGCCGGCAAGCCGGAGAAGTCGTACAATCAGGTTGTGTGACTGTCATGAAGGAGTTTCGTTCTAGATGTCCTCTATGCAATCTTTGCTTCTTCCTCTACTAGAAAGTCACTCATCGCCCGCACATACATATCTGAACGCCTACCAGTCGTAGTACTTGATCGAATGGCCTTTGAAACGGGCTGACCCATCCGGTGCGGCCTCACTCCGAAATAAGAGGCGTTGGCAAAAAATAATTTCATTTGCCTGTTTGCGCTGTCAGCCGGTCGATTCTCTTGGCAGGACAGCCAATTTCTCCTCGCCATGAATGCATAGAAATAACCGCATGAAGCAGGCTCCATCGTACGACCTTTTTCAGACAGACACTTGTTTTTACTGGTGACCAAGCATGCGTCAAAAGGGTAGAGTAAAGCGAGTTCGTCACTATGCAAGTGGGGGGAGGGGGGCAATCTACATTGCCCAACGACGATGTTCCGCCGAAACGGAGTTCCCACGTTTATCTTTGGTTGACTCTCTCTTCCCTTCGGTACGCTGTTCAGCAAACCACGAGATCGTCACCTTGTATAAAACCCGATGTATTTCCCCCTTCGAGGATGCTGCTCTCTGTTGGGTGTAGGGTGGGACGGTCCACAGCTGTATAGAAATGTGACTTTTGTCACATGAGGAAGCTCCAAAAGTAAGGTGGTGCATAGCGCCAGCTGGTTGTTCGGAATCCACACAGCTAGGTCGCTGAAAAGTTAAGCGCAGACGTTTATAAATCAGCGAATTTGCGAATCAGAGAATGCTGTTTAGATCATGAAGTGGTTCCTTCTTCTCATTTGCGTTGAGGTCGCTCTTGCCCTATGGTGTGAATCTAATGGTAGATTGTATTCCAACGGTGAAGTATGGGTAGGTATTCTTTGACACCAGTTTCTTTCCGTTACTTTTTCAAGTGTTCAGGAATTTTCAGATTGTTTAGAGAAACTGTTTGATTACTGGGTATGCTCGTTCTGTGATAGAACTGTAGGTATGAAATTCAAAGGACACGGCCTGCGATCAGGTGTAGAAGTTGAAAATGTGGCGTCGGGAAGTAACGTGGTACCGCGACCAGTAACTTTGTGCCGGTTTTGCTGCAAGAAATCGTAAAGGAGGGGTGCTATAGCTCAATATAAGTTCAACGAAGCCTCCTTTTTTTCCAGTGACTCCGCCTCCAAGCACCGCCTTTAGGCCCGCCTTTCAGTGAAAAACGAAGCTGCAGGACGAAAAAGCATGAAAATTGCCACTTGTACTGTCGTAGAGTTTTATCGTAAAACCGGCTGTGCGGATCGGAGAGGGTTGGAGATGTAGTGAGTTGTGCACGTACAAGGTGGGATCAAAATGGGGTTCTATCTAGGCAGTTGGCATGTTTTTTTCTGCTTTTTTTCTCCACTCCTATGTTACTCTGCACCCCGTTTCTCTTCACCTCTATGCAAACCCCTATCGAGAAGCTTTTTATGAACCACTTTTCCTGAACCACCCCCGATAGCCAATTTCCTTCCTGCTTACATAGCTGCACACAGCTGTCGGCATCAATTTTTTTACCGTTTGAGACGAAGAAGTAGGATTCTTTACAAGCCAATGAAGACAAACTGTACGTGCACCTCCGAAGACGACAATTGGCATGTGCAGTGTGAACGGCAACTGCAGTAGGGTCACTTTCCCCACTCAAAAAAAGTACGGTAAAGGAACTAGAGGGTGCCGCCATTCGGGCACCGTCTCCAGACCCTCTCACGCTATCTAGCCATGTACCTGTCAGAGGAACCCACTCGTCAATACGCAAATTCCTCAACGAGCACGCAGTCGCAGATAGAGAGAGACCAATAGAAGTGATTGTGCTTACCAGGAAAGGTCATCAGGTCAGCCCGGCCATTTCCAATGAGCTGCACACCGTTGTACGCGTCTTGGGACGGTGAACTCAGAACTGTCTTCAAAATTTGCAGAACGATTCTCTGAACGGAGTTATGGAGGGTTTTATCCCCGCATGGTCGTTTCACATGCTATCGCGTGGAAGCGTTTCCTGTTTCGCAGCGCTGTGAGTTGCGTACAGGTGCCAACGCTTCGGCGCCAGCGCGCCTGGAAGAAGAAAAACAGTAAAGAAAAACCTCCATAACTCCGCTCAGAGAATCGTTCTGCAAATTTTGAAGATAGTTCTGAGTTCACCGTGTCAAGATGAGTACAGTGATGTGCATCTCATTGCAAATGGCCAGGCTGACCTGTTGACCTTTCCTGGTTAGATTCTGGGTTGGGTTCTGTTTAGGCGCGTGTCTGCGGCAGCTCGCGCAAAATCCGGAGCTGGTACTTCCCTTCACCTTCGAATCTCTTTAGTAGTTCTTTTAGCCTGGAATTTAGACAGAGAAGGTGGCACGCTGTTGCACCCGCGCACCCATTTACATCATACATGATAAGACCAGGATCCGCCGAGATGAATGCGCAGATTTTTCTGCGGTGAGCGTAAAGGTGCAATTCTACCTGCGCATAATTATGCCATGCTGTTCAATCTTACTCTCATTCTGATACCCATCCAGAACACTATTTTCAGATTTGGGGTCGATTCAAGGTAACATGCGTTGTCGAAAAAAATGAATACCAAGAAGGATGGCACACAGAGGTTCTTGCATGCCTAACAGCGAGAAACACTCCAGTACGTGAATCTTTTTACTTCATAAAGAATCATCATCTAACCACTGGAACGCTTTATTCTATGGATATCTCCTAATCAGCTCTCAAGTCTCTTCCACCTGGAAGCGCTGTGCTAATGTGACCTTTTTGGTGGCCTTTATAAAGGTATGTATACTCCTCATCATTACGGACTGTCGGGGCGGGTCAGTGCGGCTGCGTTTTCCGCGGTTCCAAAGTCTTTCTGCACCAGTTGTTGAAGCGATCAAATGACATAACAGCATTATATCCTTCGTATTACTCGTTTTCTACCACTTTTTGTCGCATACGCGTTTCAACGAAAAGGCTGAGAACGGCTTCAAACAGTGTGCGCACTCCTACTGGCTGATACGCCCCGACAGTCCGTAATGATGAGGAGTGTACTTCACTTACAAGCAGCGGCGAGTACGGCAAGACGATCGATGCAACCCGGTG